CCTCTAATCTTAATATCTTATAGATATAGAATTTAATTATAAATTTTTTCTGTATAATCTACTTGTAAAAAGTTTAATTGAATTTTAATAAAGATAGAGGCATGGCCTTACCATTAATATTTAAAATATTATACATATAATTATATATTATAAATTATACAAAACTATTTTCAAAAATGATACAAAATTCTTAACCAAGTTTATTGACAAACTACTTAACTATATATTAATAATAATCAAAAAATCTTAAACTTCTTATATAGCTTTTAGTTCTTTACTTTCAAGTTCTTCAAAATTAAAATTCTATTAAATAATCTTTCTATTTTATATATTCTTTACAAATAATATTATTCATATTTACCTACAATATTTATTATCAATATCATCAAATCTGTTCTTATCTTTACTAAATAATCTGTTCATCTAATTAATTACTATAAAATTTTATAAATATTTTATTATAACATACTCTTAATACTAAAATGCTTGACACTACATCAAACATTATAGCCAATTTATATAATCAAATTAATTTGTTAAGTAGTATATTTATTTACAATATATTAGATATATTTTCAATATTCTCAACTTTAACAGATTTAATATCAAATGAACTTATTGATACTATTGCAAGTTTGTCATCTAAAAAAGTAGCTACAATACTTATTATAAACTTTCTGCTTTATCTTAATCAACAAATCTATTACAAAATCTAAATTTCTTATTGTATTTCAAGATCTATAACTCAACCTCTTAAATACAACTCAACCTCCTAAATACAACTTATTATTAAATACTATTTTACTTCTATTATGTTTTTTTCTATTTAACTATTAGTTCAAAAATAAATTCTTAATATATTTATTAAATCAAATATCAAACTAACTCTCTATATATAATTACTAATATCCAAATCTAGGTGAACCTTGACTATTCCTATTGGTTTAGGTTGCAGATAAACTAGTCTAAGCTTTTATTTTTTTTATAATATTTTAAAACCAAAATTATACTCTGTATAAAATCTCAATTAAATATTCAATAAAAATAGAAACATAACCTTATTATTAATAAAAAAAAACAATATTTAAAAAATTTATTAAACATTTAAAAATAATTTTTTTTGATTAAGAATTTTTTTAAATTTATCTATTTTTAGTTTATAAGCAATATAAATTTTTTTCTTATAATATATAAGCAAATACTGCTATAATATAACCCTTATTTTCAAATATTATCAAATAAAATTTGATTTAAATATTTAAAATTTTAAAAAAGTAGATTATAAGCATATCTTTAATAATTTTTTAAAAAAATTTGCTTGAAAAAGCCTACAGATTAAGAGATAACTGATTTATATTTAGATGTGATTTTTAAAAAGTTAATAATTTGATTAATAAAATAAACCAGTTTCAACCTCTAGTTCAAATATGAAATTAATTTTGGTTGATTAAATGATATAATAGCTGTAGCTCAAATGTTGCCTAAGAAAATGCCTTCTAAAAAATTTTTATAAATTTTATAGTTACAACTTTCTAACCTTAACCTTGTAAAAAAAACCTTAATCCTAATTTAACAACATGAGTGAAATTGTTTAAACTAGTGAAACTGACTTATAAGCAGGTTTTGGTTAGTTCTAGTTTAAGTCTGAAAAATCAGGTTTAGTTCAAATATGCATATATTCGAACCATATAAAACACTACTTAATTAGAGATAATCCCCTGATCACTATATCAAGATCACAGAAGGATTATTTAATAATACCTGATCTGTAAGTGAATAAGCAGAAACAAAGTTTCTGCCAATTCCCAACGGATCAGAATATACTTAGTGACTAAGTAACTGGGCAATTAAGTAACTAGAAAACTAGTTTTTTTAATTAACTAAATGACTTATTACTAAAATTGCATGACTGGCTTTTATATTAATTATAATAATAAATAGTGATTCTGGCCAATAGTGAATAAAATTAGTTAGAATATTTTTCTAAAGATCTGAGAGTATACCCACATGATTTTATGTGATTTAGAGGTTTAAGTAAAACTAGAGTTAGGGCTGTTAGGGCTAGATAAATATTAGGGTAAAAGCAGGAATATAGATAAAATTGCCTTCTCGACATTTTTAATTAATGCTCTAAAAACAGGTTTAGACTATTTTTTTTTGATATTTTTTTCGGTTTCATTATTTTTTTGATTTCTTCAGGCTGATCGTGTAAACAAAATTTCATAATTAGGACCTGCGGGTCAATAGTGCAGTGGTTAGCGCTCCCAGGTCACAGTCGCAAGGTTGTGGGTTCGAATCCAACTAGGGGACAAGGCTTTGTCAGAACCACGACTGGAATGATCTTCGAGAGGAAAATTTTCTATGTAAGGAATGAACAGAATTCATATGTGTAGAATGCAGTCCGTTGGCATAACCACAGGGTTGAGGACGACCAGATAAGGCAAATCCGTCAACAAATGACGTAAAAATTGAGTAAAACCCAACTTAAGAACGTAATAAGAACATTAGAAAGTGCGATCCGACTAGTGGGTTATGCGAAGTTAGGGAACTGCGAACCTAGAAAACGTAGGTCCTACACCGCAGGGCCAGGGACCTGGAACGTCATATGATGGACTTAACAGAGCATGAGCTATCTTACTAGTTCAGTGACATAAAAAAGGCTAATTCGCCTGTTCGATGAACTCCGCTAGATGATAACTCTGGCCTTGAGAGATGTGACAGATCCTAAGGTAACTAAGAACCTTCAAAATAGCGAAGAGAGAAAAAAAAAAAAAAAATTTCATAATTCCAATTGATTGATTTATACAAAAAGCAGGTATATGGCTTTCACAGATCGAAATTAAAAATATAACCAACTATTAGTATAATATTTGCATAAAATCAACAGTCAATATTGGGCTGATATGCTGTAGTTTTAAGAAAATTTGACGCATATCAGCAAATATAAACTACTACTGGCTGATACTGGCTGATACTGGCTGATACTGACAAATTTTCTTAAAACTACAGTCTATTAGCCCAATATACTATATTATACTAATAGTTGGTGATATTTTTAAATTCGACCTGTTCGATATAGAGATACAAATCGATACATCAGTTCTATTGATTACAGCTGTTATCATTATTCCTGAGACACCTTATGAAAAATTGACCAAATGTTATTCTGCCGATTCGATAAATTATTGATTTCGGTATGATTAGTGATGCGACCCAAAGTATTTATGACAAATATCGGCATTATGGCAGTTTGGGATTTGGATTGAAACATTTGCCAAATCCCAAATAAACTCCCAAATCCCAAATATATGATGAAATCCCAAACATTTGCCGAAATTCCAAATATATGCTGAAATTCTAAATATATGATAAAATCTTAATTATATGTCAAAATCCCAAACATATGCTGAAATTCCAAACATATGCTGAAATTAAAAATATATAACAAAATCTTAAGTCATATGCAAATTTCTAAAATATGTGCAAAATTTTAATCCGATTATGCAAATATGATATAATTTTAGTATAGTTTAATAAAAGTTTAATACCAATATAAATTATTAATTTTTTCTATATTGTGTTATTTTTCGATTTTATTTTACTTTTTATATTAATATCAATAGATTCTACAGAGACTTCAATAAATAATTAACTTACAAATGTTCAAAACAATACTTCTAAAAAAAATAGATCTAAAAAAAGTGGACATCCATTATTACCAGTTTGGGATAACTTTAAAAAAACTACACCTAACAAATATGGACATTGTGATGCAATTTGTCTTTATTGTGGACAATCTTGGTCATGAGGAAAACCATTAACAATGGAAAGTCATTTAGCATTACATTGTAATAAAGCACCTGATCATATAGTTACTTTTTATCTTTATGAAGTTGCTGAAAGAGTTGAAAAACTTGCATTAGATGATGATAGTGAAGATGATGCTTTTATTAATTCAAATCAAAAAAAAGAAAAACGAAGAATAATTACAAGCAACTACCTCAATTAGTAGAATCTGTTAGTGAAGATCATAGAAGAGAAATAAATCGAGCTTTAATCAAAGCTTTTATTTGTTGTGGTATACCTTGGGCTGTTATTGATAACCCTTTTTTTATTGATTTGCTCAAATTATTAGAACCAGGTTATACTTCACCTCATAGAGATACATTAGCTAATCAGTTATTAAATGAAGAACTTGCAATTATTACTGTTAATCTTAATAAATCTCTTACAACTCAACAATATTTAACATTGGCAATTGATGGTTGGACAAGTCCACTTAATGACTCATTATATAATTATATTATTTCAACACCTGATCGGAAAGAATATCTAATTGCCATTCAAGATTATTCATTAGATTCTCAAACAGGTATTTATCTTGCAGATAAAATTAGCTCAATTATAGAAAAAATTAGATCTTCAAAATTCTCTGCTATAGTATCCAATAATAGATCAAATATTCAAGTAGCATGACAAATAATTAATAATACCTATTCACAAATTATAAATATTCAATGCATTTCCTATTGGTTTAATTTAATTTCAAATGATCTTGTCAAGATTTCTGAAATTAAATCTGCTTTAACAAATGCATGTTTAATTATAAATTTTTTTAAAAAATCACATGTTGCAAGTCGATTACTTCATGATGGAATAAAAAATATGAAGATTCAAGGTAGAAATTTAGAGTTATTTACTAAAACAAGATGGGCATCAGCATTTAATACTACTAATTCTATTATTCGAATTAAGCCTGTTTTTGACAAAATTTTAGAAGAAAATCCAAATATTATATTTAATAATACAGTTTATAAGCTATTGAAAGATGAAGAAGAAATCTTTTTTATTACTTGTCACTATATAGCTATGATATTTTATCCTATTAAAGAAATAATTAACTTATTAGAGTCACAAACTGCTAATTTAGCTGATTGTTTTGTTAACCTTGTAAAATTAGGTGTTACAATTAAAAAAATTCCTACTAACAATC